GAGAAGTCGTCTCCAAAGTAGAAAAGGGATGAAAAGGGTACAAATTAGCGGTTAAATTGAATACAAAGTCTGTTAACCAAAACGGCGGGACATATGAAGATAAACCAAAAATGTCACAAATAGAGGTGTAAATGTTCAGTTTATAACTAACAACAAGAAGACGCCCGAGGGTGTTTACGCGGGATGTGTTGGTGTAAGAAAGAATTACCGGTATGTTGGATGGCAATGAAAAGTTGAGTAGTGTATGCAACAAATGTGTGCAGGAGAGACGGAGATGTTCTTTTATGGACTAATACACTAGAAGATGAGTTGCACTCAAGGGTTCCAATCTCTTACCATTTTATATACCATTTTGGACAGAAAAGGACCCCCTTCTAATGTCAAATGGTACCCCTTTCACCTAGTTACAGTTGTAGTTACTGTTTATTACTTTAACTGCTGTAAACGCATGGTCTTTAAAATATGAATAAATCACAAAAGTAGAACGCTTTCGTCGACTTTGTCACTGCCATAAAATTCATGTGAGCTCTTTTGGGTCTTTCTACCAACCGAAATGACAGATTTCCGTCCCCGTTCATATTCTTCAACAAGTGAAATCCCTACCCTTTCTTTCGTATACCTGAAGCTTGAGAAAGTACTCCTTTCGGGATTTACTTTCCCGTGTTATGTCATTATAGGGTATACCTTCCACCCACCCCCTGGGGATATGGGCCGTTGTCATGAGCCTGTATTAATAGGGTAACTGCTCTGGAAAGGCATCAGAAAATTTCAAGTCAAAGAGACCAAAGAAGCTTCTGCTTTAGATAGAAAAATACCGACAGACTATCCCCTCATTGAGACTACATCATCTAGAGGTAAAAAGTGGTCAAAAAGAACGATAATTAAAAGGAAACACAACCCAGTTAGATGCTCATTTAAACATTTTATTGTTCCTGTACTATATACGGACCTATAATAACTTTCATTAACTTATATTCCAAAGGTTTACAATCCCAAAAACTTAAAATATCAAGAACTATACTATATATAGACAAAGAACTTTGGATAAAAACTGATAACTGATCTGATATACATTTTAACTAAAGTGTAAAATATTTCTTTTAATCGGTACTTAACGCATTGGAACATGTTTGTCTGATGATTAAAAACCACTGAATTAAAAACTGAAAATTAAGCAAAAATCTAAACTAAAGATATCACAATAAAATTATCATGATGTATCACTAGGTTTAACAGAGTATGCCGAGGTTGCACTTTAAAATTATAACTTTAATAAGAAATGTAATAAATATTTCAAAAAATAATGTAGAGAGTGATTCTGTACAATCTGCCAAGTGAACGTGGTTCATTCACGCCGATTGAATTCTGTGTTACCACTTGCTTCTTGTTTTGCCTCGTCTTGTAAGAACGCTTGGTCACGTGACACTTCTATAATTAGCACGCCGTTACTGCAGAGGCGTGACGTCAATGAACTGACGTCTGCGTCATCGGGCAGCAAAATGCGATGCCTGTAATCACGTGAACCATCTTCCTCCGATCCGTGTTTTGCTATGACCATGAGCTCATTTCCTCGACGCTGGATCTTGATTTCTTCTAGTTTAAATCCACGCAGATTTAATTTAGCAACAAACTTGTCATCGTTTGCTTTTATTTTCTTTTCAAGGCGTTTGATGCCATTGAGGACTAGAACGCTACCATTTCTGGTTACATGTGATGTCACTGTTGTGGGATCTACGTCTTGCGGGAGCTTAATGATTTTCATGAACTCACTATTCTCAAATCCATCTTCTCCTTCGGATCGATGCTGGCCGTGTAACGTTATATTTTCGTCGTCAACACAGAGTGAAATTTCTTCTGGTTTGTACTGGTTCATTGGCAGCCAAGCAATTATGACTGGGCCCGAATATGTCTTCATTAGTTTCCTCTGCCGAGCCTGTTCCTCGCAGAAGAGAGCTGTGCTCCTCCATAAATCTTGCAAAAACCCAAAACCTGGGACAACTTGATTGAAGAAGCTGTTGTAGCTGAAAATGAAACAAAAGAAAATTGTTATTTTGCCTGGAGTTGGTGAGACTAACTGGACCAAAACATCTCAGTTGCCTTAAAAATTAGCAAGTCGGATTTTCTTTACAATGTAAATAAAAATGTTTCCATGAAATTTTGAATTGCCGAATTTAAACGCCTGTCTGACTGACGCTGGCAGAACAAAACATTGGGTTTGTCGCGTTTGCAAATCAGTGGTGATAATATATATGTAATGTTAAATTTGTCTTGCTTTAAGCGTTAACGAATAAAGTAGGAAAATGTCTGAAATAAAGAAAAGAAAGAATAGGAAGCTTTAAGGCACTCTGCTGTGAGGATATTCAGGTTTATCGCCCATCCAGTTCCTAAATCGCCTAACTGAGCTCATCAGGCTGATCCTATTTCCCTGACCCTAGCGACAGAAACTGGGCGAAGTTGCAAGGTTTTCAGTTTAGGCTAAGGCAAGGGTTTCTAGGACCGAATCATAATCATAACCATAATTAATATCATGATCTCTGATCATAATCAACTTTAGTTACAGTGCGTGACGACAGGCAGTTAAAAACTGAAAACTTGTGGCCCTCAAAGATGTCAGGCTAACCAAAAGATATGCGCATAACTTGGAAAAAAAATAACAAACGTACAAACAGTCAAGTGTGGATAAGGTCATAAGAAAAATTAAACGAATCAGAGTGGTCCAGGGGGTTTCTTGTCTGGCAGGTCGGTACTCTCTAGTGACCTTTTTTTCGGATCGTAATTTTTCGAAAGGTAATTCGCAAGGAGGAATTTCATTAGCTTTCTATAAAACAACTGTGCACTGAAAAGCTGGATTGAGGCCAAACCAGGGAAGAACACTAGGGCATTTCGCTGCATTTCCCCCGCAATACTCTCCCCCCCTCCCCCGCGCCCCTCGCCTCCTCTCCCTTCTAATTCTCGTTTTACCTTGATCGGTTATAAACCAAAATAATCCACTAATTTTTTTCAACATATCGAAACCTAAAGAAAACACTGTATTCGTTTAACCAATTTCAGAGAGTCCATTATACTGTATACCAAAAAAAACCTGTGTTAGACCCTAAAAAACGATGTGAAAACAAAATTACTCTTAGATACTGATAACTCAATTACTTGCAGCGAAGAAAAATTATAATTTTGAAAGGCTTACCTAGTTGGATGAAAAGTCGGGAATCCGAAAGCGAGGGCCATGTCGAAGAAACTTTGGTTCCAATTCTACTTCTTGAAAATCTTAAGGGATATCTCTTTGATTCTTCTGAGACTTTTGTTTGAACTGTTGGTCGGTGAGCAACCCATGCACTTAATTTATAGGTGATAAAAGTTATTTTCGAACTATCAATCGTTACTATAATTAAATCATTTGTCAGCATTTTTTGAGTGACTAGCTTGAGCTGACTAATTGTGACAAAATTTAACAGGAATAAAAAGTTACTCTTTTTTTTAATTTTCAGTGGGAAAATAGTTTTGCCAAAAACGTACATTAGGCAGTTTTGTTATTTCGTTTTGTTTTGTTGCCCTGAGATATTTCTGTTTTATTTTTCTACTTTAATCGCGGATGTCACGGGGAGAACGGAGAAATGTGGTTAACGAAGTTACTGATGGGGCTAAAGTTCAAGTTAGGTTAAATGTTCCCGTTTTTCATTTTCCTGCTCACCGTGGTGGTTTCCAGTCCAGTCCCTTTTTCTCTTTTTAGCTACTTACATCCCTTTGATAATTTTCTCAATATTATATTTTTATAGTGAACTTTAGATATTTCTAGATACCAGTAACAGATGAAGAGCCACAATGTACATGCTCTGTTAATAAACCGTCTATAACCTTCCCTACTAACCTCACTTGCTATATTTAGATTTCAGTATAATGCATGCTAGTGACTCGATCAATCCATAGAACTGAACTAAAACTTGAATTAATATGAGTGTAAATTTGTATTATTAGGAGTTGTTTGTACTGTTCTACGTAAGCTTCATTCAAAAATGTCAGAAATGACTTAAATCATACAAATAGCTGAATAATCCATCTAATAATAATGCATATCTAAATATTAGCCTAATATTAAAATGCTTGATACTGAAGGCTATAAAATCAGTCTCATTTCTCAGCTTTAGTGCGTTCCAGTTCACGGTTAGGTACAACAAAAACAGTGTTCTAAATAAAGTGAAACATGTAAAAAAAAGGTTGGTGTGCTTGCCATGACTTACAATAGGCCAAAGTGTTTCGTAACAGTATAAACATTTGAAGCCGTTTATCAAAAATAGTCTGGGTTCATGTAAGCCGCCTCGGCAAATCTAATTTTTTGGTTTCGTAAGAAAAGTGAAAAAGGAAATATTTCAGCCTTGCTATATTCACATTATTACCCCTAGTAGCTTAAAATTTTCAAATAGAAAGATTTAGGTAATGGTAAGGGAAAATGATCCCTTTCTCGTTACGACTCATTGAGGTCGTTGCCAAGACATTTTGTATACTGCTAGAGGTGATTACTTTTTTCAGTTTTACTTTTGTTAAAATATATTTTCGGAGAAATTAAGAAAAAGTTATGTCGAAATGTTACGAAGAATGTATAATGGATCATGTATGGGCTCAGCCGTAACGTTTTTATCAATCAACAATTTTGCAGCTTTATATGCTTGATATTTCCTTCCTTGTTTAGTTGGAAAGGTTAAAAATGCTCAAGTGCTTAAATGCTCAGGTTATAAAACAAGATAACGTCTCCGAAACCATAATTATCCTAAAAAAAAGTAAAGTATCAACAATGATAAAAAATCTCAAAGCCGATTACTATTTTGCAATTTATTTGAAGAAGTGGATACCCCTGCTCCTTACTGGAGACTACTGAAAAAGACATCAGGAACAAGAAAAGTAAACAGACAAGCACACCAATTAAAGAGGACGATGGGAACCTCACAACAGATGACACCGAAAAGGCAACTATGTAAAACGATTATTTCTGCACAGTTAATGAAAAATTGATTGGCCCCGCGGATGAAATTAGTAGACAATGTAAACATTCCAACTACGACCAGCATCACGATTAGTGAGATGAAAATCGAGGAAAAGATCTGTAACTTAAAAGTGAAGAAAGCTGCGAAGCCAGATGACGTATCTGCGCGCAATTTAAAGTATGCGGGTATGTCTATTGCCCCATCTCTCACGAACTTGTTTAAACACAGTGTTGATGCCTTCAAGCCACCAGACCAGTGGAAAATAGCTAGAGTCAGTGCAGCGTTCTAAAAAGGACGAGAGGAAGACATTACATGATACGGACTACTATCTAAGCTCAGGATACCAAGTAAATTAATGGAATCCTGTGTCGCACAAGTAATATTACTAATCAAGTGGTCACGCAAAATTTACTTCATAACAGACAATGGGCTTATAGGAAGGGAAAGTCAGCAGAACAGCTTTTAATTCACCTAAAAGAGAGGTGGAGAGAAGCAGTAGAAAAAAAGCTTTATGTAGCAATTCTGTTTGTCGATTTCACTAAAGCTTTCGACACAGTGTCGCACAATATATTACTACAAAAGCTGAACGACATTGGAATCAGAGGATATGTCTGGCTGTGGTTAAAGAACTACCTCACCGAACGATGACAAGTCGTCAGAATTAACGGATGCTACTCCGATATATGCACCGTAACTCACTGAGTGCCGCAAGGGTCGGTCCTCGGACCCACGTTATTCTCGCTCTTCACAAACGACCTCCCAAAATCACTACGCTCTAAGGAAACGTATCTGTATGCAGACGACACAACAATACTGCATCGCAGAAACTATGGATTTGCTAACAAACACACCAAACAATGTTCTAGCTGAACTCCAGGAATGTTGCGACAGAAACTTGTTAGTACTACACCCAGAAAAATGTAAAGCAATGATCCTGCAGCGGAAATCAACATTTTCTGGCCCTATCCAAGCTCTTCGTCTTGGCAACAACATCGATCATAAAGTGGACAACCTCAGAAAGACTCCTCGGAGTACAGGTTGATAACAAGTTGCCCTGGTCAGATCATGCTGCAAATGCAGCGAAGTCCTTCGCATCCAAGTTAAGTTTAATCCCACGCATACGATAGGCTCCCTCGCAAGCAATTAGAAGACTTCTACACAAAAGTGATACGGTCATCAGCTACATACGGCCTGAAAGTGTGGGGATCTTTCAACAAGACGAACATAAAGAACCTGGTGAAATTCCATGCAAAAGCTGGACGAATTATACATGGGTTGCCATGGGACACAAATGCTAAAGATGTCATAACGCGAACTGGATGGGACAGTTTGGAAACAACGTACAAAGTGCGATTAAGGGAGTTTCTCTTCAAATGTATAAAGGGTTAAACCGTAAAGGAATGTAAAGATTTGGTTTTACAGAGGAATTCAGGCCGCAGAAGAAATGAGAACATCATTCTTCCAAGACCAGAAATGAATTTATTCAGAAACTCCATTGGAACAGTTTAACGAACAGGGAGACAAGGGATAAGACATCGAAAGTGTTTAAACGTTGTCTTGCAAAATTTGATGCTGATAAAATGAATTTCGAACCTATTTTAGCTACAACTATTGGTTACAAATATTTTAAACACTTTTTAATTGTTAATTGTACATTTGTTTTCAGTACTCCTTATTTTTTTTGTAATTGTTGTATGCACGACTCCACCAGCAATGCTGATCTTCGTATCGTGCTAAAATAAAGTTCTTATCTTATCTTATCTTATTTTATCTTGAGGAAACACCAGAGAATATAAACCTTTCCATGGTTTTTTTCTACGTTTGACATGGGCAAGTCAGGGAAAATCCGCCAACTCCGCTGGAAAGAACGCCTGTAAAATATGAAAATTGCCAGGTTTGAAAGTGATTTGTTGAAAACTAACGAAGATATAGCTCTTCATCAAAGCTGCGAAATTTTACAGATGTTTGTACGGTGGTAGCTAGGGGAACCATCCAGCAAAAAGCTGTAAACTTTAAGAGGAACTTTGCGGAACTATATCTCTTCCCGCTTAAGACGTATTACTTCCAAACTTGGCAGTTTTACCAATTTAAAGGCGTTCTTTCCAGTAGTGTCAACAGATTTTCCCTTACTGTTTCATGTCAAAATTAAAGTCGAAAAAACCGTAAAATGTTCTATTGAACTCAGAACCTGGGCCGTGCACTAACCAACTGCCCCAATCCTTCTTAATTGGAGTTTTTTTTCTTTTCTATGACTTTTTGTTTTAAGATGTCGTCTCTGAAACAGGAAAAGTGATGAAAAGGGCCAGAGTGAACGGTAAAAATGAAAACAAAGTCAGTCTCCTGATTTTCCAATTTTTATTGACCCTTAACTAATGACTTAACTATTTTATAACATGTTGTGATCTCACAAAAATATTGTCGATAGTTACACAGCTAAAAAAAGCTTTAATCTGTTAATAGCTTTAATGCATAGTCAGACAACCCTAGACTGGTGTGAAAAGCTAATGATACTATAATGTAATGGAAAAAGATTGGCTGCAAAATAAATCAGTGTAAAATAGTGCTAATACTAGCGCATTTGTGCCTGTTTGTCTGCTTAAATTATAAATCAATTCAAAAACTGACGCAAGAAAATGATTTACTAAATTCTGAATTACTATTTTATAATCAAATTGTACTCTAAGTGTTGATAACTTAACAAGCATTAAATGCTATGCTGAAATGTTGCTTAGCTTCTCGAGAAAATTTTAATCAGAAATTAATGTAACAAAAAATTGACAAACTGTTCTATACGATCGCAAGTGATTCCTTACGATCTGCAAACGCAGTTGATTTAGCTTTTATTCTAATCTTCTCTGTTACCGCTTGCTCCTTGTTGTTGTTGCTCTTTTTCTTCAGGATGTGGCTTATGATCAACTTCCATGGAAAGTTCCACGTTTCTCTCACTTGGTAACAGAGCTGGGTCACGTGCCACTTCTATGGTTAGCAAGCCTTCTTTGGACAAACGTGACGTCACTGAACTGAGTTCTGCGTCGTCAGGCAACAAAACGCGGCGGCTGTAATCACGTGACAAATATGAACCGTCTTCTTCCGCTCTGTGTTTTCCTGTGACCGTGAGCTCATGTCCACGAAGATGGACCTTGATTTCTTCTGGTTTGAATCCACGCAGATTCAATCTTACTACGAACTTGTCATCGTCTGTTTTTGTTTTCTCTTGAACACGCTTGATGCCTTTGACAACAAGAAAGT